TGGCGCCAAAGAACCGGATGCTGTCAAGGTAGAGGAGCATCCGTGACCAGATCATGGGCGCTACGAAGGCGAGGAAGTTGTAGGAGAACATGTTCCAGTCTTTGCGCCCGTCGCTGTTGAGAGGGTGGCTCAATGCTATCATGCGGAGGGCAAAGGAGACAGTGAGAAGCGTGTAAAGAGTCATGTTGAAGACATTCCAAAAGCCAATGTAGTATCTGCCGACCTTCCAGAACTTGACGAGCTCGTCGAGGATGAATGACGCAGTAAGGATATAGAGGATGCCTTCCTCGATGTCAATGTCGCCGCGCGCATTAACCGTGTTTACGGATATAGTGTAGAGGATTAAGAATAAAAATGATACAAAGACTTGGAACATGTTCTGGTACCGCGGCGCGCGGATCCGATCATGATCAAAATGCGCCCAAAAACTCTTGTTGGCGACGTCGTGATAATGTGTAAACTTCATAGGGTCATGGAGGTCCTGACATACCCACCCCTTCCAAAGCGCGCCGATACACTTTTGGAAACCGGAGGAGCCAATGATGCGGGTAGCGTGGAGATCAATCGCACGTTCTACCACACTGACTGGCGATGATTCTTGGCCGTTACGAATGATAGAGTAGCGCTTGAGGAGAATCTCGGAGAAAAGGTAGTCTTGGTCCTCTTCCATTTCGATAAGTTGCTTTGCGATAACCTGGCATGCTTCCGCGCGGAGATTGTTGAGATCCGCATCGTAGAGCTCCAGGATGGCCTGGCGTTTGAACCAACGGAGACAGACGATCAGGCAGAATACCACGGCGGCGCCATATTCGGAGCCGCCAGCTTCGCGCGCGAGGAGGACGACCTGGCGGGTAATGATCTCGCTGTGGGGGCGGGTGATTTGGGTTTGTTTGAGTTCGCACGGAACAGCCGCTTCTATGCTATGAAGACATTAGTCTTGGATTCGACTGTCATGAAATGGAAGCTGACAGGTGTTTCAGGCGAAGTGCGACTAGAGTGACTCTGCAAACATCAGTATCAGAGGCAGCACAGAGATCGTGAAAGTCTCACTCTTTCGCGGGCAAGGCAGAGACAACCCCCGGTGCAACTCTATGGTGGGGAAGCAGATTCTCGCGAAAGTCTGCACTGGCATGTCTGCCTCGATCGGCAAAGGAGCGGCCGATTCCAGCGAGGGCGGTGAACGAGAAGCGGGCCATGATGCGATGGAGCTGTCGAGCTGAGCTTGCGCGCGCCGACCAGCTGTGGGGAGGTGGAGGGCAGTGAAGGTGGAGGAGGACACAATGATAGAATCCCAGGGCTTATTTCAGCCCCAGGGTACGAGATGGGACGAGGAGGGGAATGGAGGGGGCAGGGCGGAGGTGTCCCCGGCGTTAAACTCGACCTGGCGGAGGCTGGAGCTTCAGAATGGCGCTGGTACGACCTGACGTAGTGTTGGATCTCCAGTCTCGCGTGGTCACTCATAGGTGTGATGGACACTTGAATGCTGTGCCAATGGTAATCTTTGAATGAATTCACTGGCACTACACATTCACATAGGAAAGTAATGACGGTCTTCTGATCATCGATGGTTGTTCTGTGTCGTCATCGCCAGGCACTCGCCAGTGAAAAATCTTCTCCGACTGTTCCAAAAAAGCTGTATCATGGTCAATTAGCATATTCTATCGCTCTGATATATTCACAGCAAAGAACATATCCCCCCTATCATCTCCCCTCTGCTCATGCGCATTCAGTGTCGTCATTGCCAGGCACTCGCTCCCCCAATCCGGCCTAGCGCACACTGGAAATCGCGAACCTCACGCACCATCACCACCACCGCCTCCAAAACCACCGAACCTCCAGCGCCCCGCACCGTCCACCGCACCGTCCACCCTCCGCTCGCCCCCACTTACCCTCCACTGTCTACACTCTTTCGAGGGGTCTCGCCTTTCCAACCACCATGCTCTTCGACGACGGCGACACTGAACTGCTGAAGCAGTGGATCGTCAAGCGTCTGGAAGACATGTACGCTCGTCCGCGCGCCGGTCCCGCCACGCGCCGCCCTGGTTATGGAACCTTCGCACATCCGCTGACACCTTCTGCTGCATTGACAGATCTGATGCGGACTCTGATGTGCTAGCCGACTATGTGTTGGCTCTCCTCAAACACGATCAGGCCGACCAAGAGGTTGAGCGGCTATGTGTCGAGCAGCTGGATGACTTTCTGAGAGAACGTTGGTCTTTCTCTCCCAACAATGTGGGCTGTCTGACAACCTCTGGCAGATACACGGCAATTCGTCACAGATCTCTTTGTTGGCCTCCGGAGCAGAGCATACCTTCCTTCGCACTCGAAATCGGCAACCATCACATCTGCCAACCAGCCCCAGGAACACTCGATAAAACTTGAAGACTCTCCTTCTGGGGCTCGGAGAGACCAATCATTATCCCCCTACACCGCCAGAGCTGAACGTCGTTATTCCGATTCGCGCGACAATGATCGAGGACGGAAACGGAGCTACTATGACCGAGATGCCGGAGGTTTTAACGATGACCCAGCAAATCTGAATGGCAGCTCTAGAGGAGGCCGTGATGGAGGAAGAGGAGCTAAGATGCCGCGTCGGGGCGCCTCCAGTGGGCGCTGGGCAAGAGGTGGATATGAGGGAGATACCAACAGCCGAACCCAAAGCTCCCCAACCAATGCATCCGTATCGCCGACTGTGCCAATGGTTCCTCCGGCGCCATTTCCATTACAGCCTGCGCCGGTCATGCCATGGTTTCCTCCTAATCCAGACGATCCAATGGCTGCATTCATGGCTGCTCAAGTCGCAGCGGCTGCAGCAGCAGGATGGGGATCATTTCCGGGAGGTCCCAACGTCCCCGGTAGTGCAGGTGTGAAGCGGCCAGCAAAAAAGATTGGTCAACGATGCAAAGATTATGATGAGAAAGGCTTCTGCATGAAAGGAGACATGTGTCCGTATGAGCACGGAACGAATCCAATAGTCGTTCCTGGCCAGAAAAAAGAAGATGGTATAGCACTTGTCTCCTCCCCACTCCGGCGCTAACTTAACAAGATGCAGAATACGACCCAAACAACTCCGCCCTCCTTCCCGTTTCCTCTACCTCATCCAATCCTCTTTCTTCCTCTGCCCCACTCTCTTCTCGGCCCTCTCGTGGCGGTCGTGGAAGGGGCTCTAATCGTTCCCGCGGCGGTCACGGTTTCCACCACCTCGGAGGTCGTACCGGCCGTTCAGAACTTTCCGCCACCGGCCCCAACTGGGACAAAGCCAACGCACGCCTTGTCGTCGAAAACATTCCAGAAGAGCATCTCTCCGAGCCCGAAATCCGAGAATACTTTACTCAATTCGGATCCATCACCGCTTGCGATGTACAACCGCATAGGAATCTTGCAGTGTTGACATTTCAAACCTGGGACGAAGCCAAGGCGGCCTACGACTCCCCAGCCGCGATATTCAACAACCGATTTGTTAAGGTCTTTTGGTATAAGAACTCAGACGAGGATGCCTCCGGTGGCGACAAACACTCATCTGCTAATGGCGGCATGGAAATTGACTCGGAAACCCACGCCGAGCCCGAGATAAACATTGAGGAAATCAAAGCCCGACAAGAAGAACTACAACGAGCTCACGAAGAGAAAATGGCCAAAAAGAAAGCCCTCGAAGAACAAGCCGCAGAAATCAAACGCAAGCAAGAAGAGGCCGCAAAAGAGCGCCAAAAGCTGCTCGACATTATTGCGAAAAAGGAAGCAAAGAAATCGAAATCTGCGACTCCGGCTCCAGACGCGACGGCTAATGGTGCGGCGGCTAAGGAGCCGACGCCCGTCGGCGAGGACTCGGAGAAAGCGAAACTCACAGCAGCGTTGAAGGCGCAGTTGTCGGCACTCGAGGCGGAGGCGTCGGCGTTGGGAATTGATCCGGCTACAGCGAATGAGGAGGATACGTTTGATTTGGCGGGGTTCCGCGGCGCGTATCAAGGACGCGGGAGAGGAGGCTACAGAGGAAGATTCCCGACGACATATCGTGGAGCATATAGAGGCGGATACTCAACGTTTGCGCCGCGAGGACGGGGAAGAGGGCGGGGAACCCTACGGCCGACAATGGGCCTCGATAACCGACCTCGAAAGGTAGCGGTGACTTTGAAGGAAGGCGCGTTTGTTGACGATAGTATGGGGACAGAAGAGCAGGAAGAAGAGTTCCGATGTCACCTGATTGTGGGTTTTCTCCTCCATGTTTAGTGCATTAAAATTCGGGTTATTGACTTTTCCCCCCAGAACTCCGGAATCGAACTCGAATCCCGCCACCAACACCCCGATAAAAAGAATACCATCATCCTCGTCTTCCCGGACCGTCATAACGCTGAAATGGTAACTCTTCCCCGCTTGTTCCCCTTCCCATCACTCTTGACCAAGATAACTCACCCCCTCCACACAGTTCGTCAAAGCCGGCTCCCACCTCCCCGGTTTCGGACACGTCGTCATGGCATGGCACTCTGATCCCCCTGGAAGCAATCCCAACATCAGTACGTCGAAATTGGATCACGATAATGACACGAAGATGCTGGAAGTTGGGGACGACCACCACCAGATGGGCGTGAGGGATGAGGAGCTTGATATGGCGGAAGATGATGCGGGGCGGTGGGAGGATTTATAGTACTTATGAGGATTGGGGGAAAGCTGTGGTGGTAGTGATGGTTGATGTGGGGACGGGGTTACGGAGCGAGGCAGATAGTGATGGGGAGGAGAATTAGTAGAATACAATGTATGTGGGAGCTATGTGATGTCGGAAACCAACCATCCGGGGCCTGGGGAGGCTATGGATCCATCGCATACTATCTAGTACGAATCACTGTGTTTAGCCGTTGGACAACTTGAAATTTGAACCCTTATATTCCCCTCGCTGGAGTACAATTCCATGTCTATCAATATCGCAGTCTTGATGGCCGGGCATCCTCCCATCATCCCACCACAAGCCCTCCACATACCCCAACTACGATTAACATTATCAAAAAGGTCCCTTAGCTCAGTTGGTTAGAGCGTGGTGCTAATAATCTCTCAGTGTTCTGGAAGATGGTTGGTGACGCCAAGGTCGCAGGTTCGACCCCTGCAGGGACCAGGTTTGTTTTTGTTTTGTTTTGAAGGGTTGGGGGGGGTGTTGGGATGAGGGGTGTGGGCGGAGAGCCCGTGGTCAGCAGAGTAGAGTACCACTGGAGTATAGTTTATAGCAGTATTAGGAGAAATAACGACCCTGTATGAACCGCCCGGAATGATATGATAACTCTTATACAGCTTGAAGGGGGGAGGGCGTGTGGAGAGAGATGGATGGGATAATGAGATGGTGTTCAGAGGATCTGTTGGTGGGTTTCATTGTCAAGTTGGTGTACTCTATCATTCGAGACTCCGAGATGAACACCTATATCATGACGGAGGGACTCGGAGGAGCCTGAAGTTTAAAGAGTGTGATGTGATACGGTGACGGAGTTTCACTACGCCTACTCATCGTTGATACCGAAGCCTCACGGATTCTCCTCCGAGTCGTTCGACAGGGGAGAAGTGGTGCATCGTGGGTGGGTAGGGTATGATAACTTGAAGTCTATGTACTATATTTTAACCCCTTCCGCCCACCACAATCAGACATAAATAAAGGAGAGTCCGGAGATGGAAGGGTGCCAGTGGGGAGTGCGAGATGGGGCTCAGAGCGCCATGTCCGTCGGTGGGTTGGAATTTCAAGTTGAAACTCGGGGTGCAGTATCTCTCGTTCGATACTCCGATATAGACTTCGAGATCATGATGGAGGGAGGGAGGAGCCAGAGTGTGATGTGACAGCGTGATGGAGACACCGTATCGATACTCATCGACGGCAATGAAACAGATGATTTGGTATGATGTTGGTGGAGATTTGAAAATCAGACAGCACGGTAGAGATGATTCTGGCGGTAATGGTTTAGTTAAGGACGTGTATTTAGAGAGAGTTTGAATTTTGAATAGAGAAGACGGGTCAATCCATCATCATCCCATTCCTCCAAATAAAGGCTTCCGAGCAACAAACAAAATAGACGTTTCACCCAAACTTCAACCTCTCTTCTTTTCAGCATCTCGCATGAACCAGCTAATCCACGCACACGCACTACAACGGCACAGCGTGCACTATTACACAACGCTCCAAAAAAGGCCCACTCCAGGATTTGAACCTGGGACCTCCCGCAACTTTGGTGGCCCAAAGCGGGAATCATAGCGACTAGACCAAGTAGGCTTTTGATTTTAATGAAGCTTTGTGGTACATGTACCCATGGTTTAGGTGCTATGAAACCTGAATGCAAAAACAGGAAGACTCAGGGCTGGACCTTGGGGAGGAATCAAGAAGCCATCGACGCTGAACTTCTCGCAATCGCAGAGACTCTGAAAACCACTTCAGCAAACGCAAGTCAACTCGACGAAATACGGATCTTCACGGACTCCAAGTTTGCGCTGGAACGGATCAAGTCGTTGGACCAAGGACCCGGTCAAGAGCTTGCCGACGAGATCCGGAGATGCTATGCTGCACTAAACCATAGAGGAGTGGATGTTCACCTACATTGGGTACCCGGCCACCAAGACATAG